GTGACAGATGCCAGTCAGATCACAATTTTTGATAATACTGTAATGCAAAGATGTGTAGCCAGTTAATCACAAGGCTAACAGTTATGTGGGAAGACGTGCAAATGCCACATATATCAAATCAGCCAGTCGATTTGTGCCAGACTGGCAGTGCTAATCCGCTACGCCTTGATTCAAATTAAATCTATTTCAAGAAAGTTTTATGTAGTTTGTACTGCAAAACTAAACCTTCTACACCAACTGTTCTGGATCAACATTATTTTATTATGGATGTGTATAGACTCAAGTACAGAAGGGTTTCAATGAAATGTTAGTTTGAATCTCCCAGTGTGACATCATCATGTAACTTTTTATCAGCTGAACTGAGTATTTTTAAATGTGACTTCATATTTCTGTGTCAGAAAAAACAAAAAAACGAAGTCCAGATGACATGATTCAACCTTTTTTGTTGTTATATACCTGGATGACTGAGAAAACAAACTTTGTGTTTTTGAAACCATTAGTGAAAAGGCCAGACTTCAGGGGTATCTGAGGCAGGCTTGAAACACAAGAGTCAGGGTGGCTTCTGGGTAATACCAGATGGCTAGGCCTCAGACTGACGAAGCCTCTTGGATGAGGGGCGAAACGTTTCTTTTTAACAAAAAAACGAAGTCCAGATGACATGATTCAACCTTTTTTGTTGTTACTGGAGTGTTTTTTTTAACAGTATTTTTCAAGGCATGATGTATGATAATGTATATTTAATAAAAACACACAGCTTCATGTAGGTTGTACACTGTATTACATTATCTAAGAAGCTTGAAAGAAAGCTGTATATTAACAATAAATTAAATTATTAAAGTGAGTTTAAATTAAATTAAAGCTGCAAGCAGCATTGGAGGCCCTCGCAGCAAAGCGCCGCTCCGGCCTTACAGCGACCGTGGGAGCTCCAGCTAGTCCACCCAGTTGCCATCACGAACGCTCTCGTGCCAGTCCCACACGCGTTCACCAAGGGGCGCATTTCCCGAATCTTTGACATTGCCTTCTGTCTATGTCGTTACTTGTCCAGCTGCAGGTCTTACAATATCAATGTGTCTAGACATGGTCACTGATTATGCCCAAACATTCTGGTTCAGATTGGATGATGAATCGCTGTGATATAACTGTTGGAATAATGTAGGGGCGCACTTGAGTCAAATGTTAAAGAACAATACCAATGTGTCTATAAGCGCTCACTGGTCACGCACAATAAATTTGGTATATATTGGATGATATTTCACTGAGATATAACTGTTGGAATAATGTAGGGGTGCACTGGAGTCAAAACTTCAAAAACAATACCAATGTGTCTAGAAGTGTTCACTAATTACACACCCAAAATCTGGTTCAGAACAGATGATATATAGCTGAGATATAACTTTTGGAATAATCTAGAGGAAGCACTCGAGACAAATGTTAAATAACAACATAAATGTATATACAAGTGCTCACTGATCACACACAAAAAATCTGGTGCAGATAGGATAATACCATCATTGAGATATAACTGTTGGAATAATCTAGGGGGTGCACTAGAGTCATATGTTAAACCACAATATCAATCTGTCTAAAAGTCCTCACTGATGATGCACAATAAATCTAGTGCAGATCAGATGTTGTGTCACAGAACTATAACTGTAGGAATAATGTAGGTGGCGCTCTCGAGGCTATTGTTCACTTATCATGGATACCTGTTCAAGGGGTGGATAACGATCGATCATAGTGATTTTCGTACACCTTGGCTGAAATCTGTGCAATTTAGAGCCAAACGTATTGCAACGGCGTGACTTCTTAACTCTCCACGCTGCCACGCCCACATCCTCCAGCAAAAACGGCTTGCGATTTAAATCAAGTCAGACCATATTATCTGTTTTCTAACATAAGATCATCTTGATTAGGTCAAGTGGTGTCAAAGAGGGAGCATTCCAAGTTTAAAAAGGAGACTTCCTGTTCCGAGGGGGCGGGGCTTTGATTACGTCAAAAATATGACCACAGTTTATCGTTGGGCATCCAACAGGGATGAGTCATGCCAAGTTTTGTGCATTTTGGTCTTTTAATGTGAAAATTATAGTGTTTGGAAATTTATGGTGTGAAGCGAAACTTTGAGGCCTGGCCACGCCCCTTTAACATATACAAAAACGCAAGCTTTAGAGAACTTTTACTCTCCAATGTCTTAAGGGCATATCAACCAAGTTTGAAGGCAATCCTTCAAAATTCCTAGGAAAAGTTCGTTAAAATTCGCAATTAGAAACGCCCAAAAATGACCTTTTGACCCAAAACGACCGATTCTCTGTTGGTTTTGGACCAGGACTCCAAGAGACTTTTTCATAGGTCCTGAGAAGATACAGATGTTCTCATGCAATGTACCACAAGCAATTAAATAATAAAAAAGGTATCATGAATTACTGAGCTCAAACATCTTTGCTGTAATGATGGATGTTAATGTCATGTTTGTATATTTATGTCCTTTATGTAAATGCTTGCTGACAATGCTGCAAACCAATTTCCCTACGGAGACAAATCTGTCTGTCTGTCTGTCCGTCCATCCGTCCGTCCGACCAACCTACCGACCGTCCGTCCGTCCATCTACCTTAGGTCGTTTTCACACCAGATAGTCCGGTAGACTCGGTTCGGGACCAATATTCATGACCTTTTGTTACATTTGAGCTGGTGAGTTTGCATTCACACTGCGCTGTGCAGTCGAGTCAACCTGTTGAACCAACCTGTTCCCCCACTCACCTGTGGGGGCGCTGCACCAAAGAACTACTGAAAGAAACGACACAAAAACTTCTGAAGACACGTCTTCTTCTTCTGGAAATAAAAATAAAAGCAAAGTGGCATCAAGTTTTAGGAGTTATATTTAGTCATTTTTCAAAAATGGACTTAGCATGAGCAGAAGATGAGACAGAAGACCATGGAGAATATTGTTTTTCACACAAGGCAGCTGACGGCTCCATATCAGGTCAGAGAAATGTGTGTTTGTTTACCCTGCGGAGCAGGTCTCGGTCTGTTTACATTCACACTCTACTCGAACCGCGCTGGAGTTCTCTTCTACCGGACCGAGACCTAGGTTATAGCCCGGGCCAGAGTTCGCCTTTTTGTTCCGTGACAGAGTTCGATGGCGTTCACACCTCCCTAAACGAACCGGACTTTCTAGGAAAACGAGCTAGAGTTCGATTAAAGTGGACTAAACAGGGCTGGTGTGAATGCACCCTAAAAGCATGTTTTTGGTCTGTGGGAGAAAGCAGGAGAACCCAGAGAAAACTCATGCATCAATCAATCAATCAATTCAACTATTGTCCATAACATTCAATGAAATGGAGATTTGTCTTTGACATCTGGCTTATAAAAACAATAAAAATGTGATTAAAAAAACTTTAAAAACTTTAAAACCAAGCTTTGCTAAATCAATTAAAAACATTCAGTTAAAACCATTCTAAAATACACAATACATTAAAATATGGAAACATCCCAGCAGACAGTGGTTTGTTATGTTAGGCTGCGTTTAAATAAGACCTTGTTAAGTACATTCACCGCAGAGGGAACAAATGACTGTATGGAGAGAATATGCGAACTCTATCTAGAAAGATCCTCGGACAGGATTTTATCCAACAACGTTTGCCTCTACTGCAAGGCAAAAGGGCTACTACTTAGCACTATGCTACACCTATTCCAAAAAGGGGAATGGTCTCCCAAAACAGTTCACCTTCATTTTGTTATTATCAGGTAAAGACATTGGTTTTAGTTATTCATTTTTGTAATTGAAACACAAGAAGTATGACTATATTTCACAAAAATAATAATAATATCCCCATCTGCTTTTACACAAATCTTTCAAAATCTGTTCTGACTAGCTCATTGTTCTACATTGCTTAATAAATTGTTACATTTGGCGGTCTGTGGTTGAAGGAGAGAGTTGTTCATTTGAATGAATGGAAATAAGTGACAGGAGTGGAGAGCAAAAAGACATTCAAAACTATGAGCCCAGAGAAGGTTTAATTCCTTTGGCCTTCTGTCAAGTGTTTCACACTGTGAGTCGTTATTTATGTGGAATACTAATGACTGGGATTGTCTCCATCTGCATTTTCTTGGAGCATTCTGGATTTAAGGGTGGTAATGTTTTCAATTTATTTATTTATTTATTACAAGTCTGAAACATTAAAATTCCTGTGTAAAACTGTGTCATAATGTTTTTTCTTTAAGTTAGATATGCTAAAAAGCAAGCAAAAAAAAGAAACATCGCTTGGTGCTTGAAGTACATTGCTTTACATTCAAGGGATATGCATTTTTTAAAGGTTTTTCCATGACAGAACAAAAAATATACATGTTACTATGTTCTATGGGTTATTGTTTTAATAATAAATGTAGTACTAATGTTTTAGTAGCTATTAGTAGCTATAGCTATAAATAAAACAGATTTGACAATTACCTTTAGTGCAGTGTATTGAAAGCATAAATAAAGGCTAAGTGGTAACTATGTCCACTGCTTTGCTACTGCTCATGAACTCTCTGTGCCAAATGCTTGACACTTCTTGCGCAAGTGGGGTTCTTTTAAAAAATGACCCCATTTGCATGACAAAAGCTGTGAAAGGAGGGAGGTAGGGCTGTTGGGTCTGGAGCAAAAAGGTGGCAGGAGACAGATAGGGAACTTGAGCAGATGCACTGGGATCAGTGGTTTCTTCCCAGTCAGGCAGTCAGAGACACTACTGGACATGGTCAACACTTACACTGAGAAACTGGATGAGGAAACTGGACTGGATTGGATTTGGGTTCCATGCGTGGGGCATTTGCACCCAGAAAACTCAAAGAGACGCTGTGTTGTTGTGGAGGATAAAAGAAAGTCTACAATTGACAACGGGGCATGGATGACTTCGGCCAAAACCCTTTCTATAATTTTTGAAAGTCAGATGTCAAAGAGTGGCACTCTAAAATGATTTTAATTTGCTTTGCAGTGCAGTTGCTGAAGCTGGATTTATTTTTTAGTTTTAGCTGCATTTGATTGAAGACATGTTGATCCAGTAAAAAAAAAAAAAAGTTTTTCTAGGTGAACTGGTTGTTTTATAGGGGACAACATTTGCTTAAAAATGACTGGTGCCTTGATTAAAGGACTTATCTTCTTCTTGTTAGAGGTAATACTCGATCATTCTCCATAACATTGTTTTTGAAAACAAATACTTGTTGTTTGCTGTGATCAGTTATATGTACTAATATTGTAATAGAATAAACCTTTTTAAAGATGAGCTTTCAAAAATAAGCTTTACAATGTAGTACATCAGTTCATACGCAAATAATATGGGAGATTAACTGAAATAATTTTTTTTGTAGGTAGGGAGAGATGGTAAACTGACGTATGCTGGCCCAGGAAGAGTGGAAGACTTACATGGTGAGGGTGTCAATCACTTGTAGTGATTTTGTTGTTCATACATACAACATTTCCATAAAAAGTGTAGACATATGCTATAAAATTATATTTATTTAAACATCCATATAATTGCATTTATTTTGTGGTAAATTCTGTTTTGGATTTCCCAGGACAAGACAAGCTTGTTCTTCTAACATCGCAATGGGCCCTTCAACTGTTCAATGACTCGCTGCCTTACACAAGAGCCGACAGCTTCTGCAGAGGTCAGTTCAGTTCCCTCATCAACCTGGACCAGCCAAAGGACCAAGAAGAAGCGCTGGCGCTCCTTCTGCAGGCTGGACTCCGCTCCACAGTCTGGGTCAACAATCCCAGCAGAGCAGTCTCCAGTTCCATAACCCCATCCAAACAGTGTGAGTGGAACCAGCAGATTAGTATTTTACTATATTAAAACTACTTCTCAATCAAAACTTTTATTTTCTCCTCTTGTTTAGATTTACAGTTCTCATCTCTAAATTTCCCCAAAGAGTCTAATGAAGGCTTTGCTCGTGTCAACGTGTCTTTTCCTGCCTTATCATCAGTGAGTGTATGTGTTCGAGTTCAGTGGGACCTAAAGTGGAATGAGGTGTCGACCATATTCTCCTATGCTGCACCTGTTTTTACAAATGAATTTCAGCTGCGAGGCCAAGCAGACGTGCAGGGTCGCATCCTCCTGGCACTTATAATCCATGGGAAGCACCTGCCGTACAAGGCGTCTTTCATGAATGATGGCGCATGGCATCACATCTGTGTGACGTGGCACCGAAGCAGCAACCACTGGGCCATCTATGTTGATGGGGACAGGAGCGACATGGGCTCAGACACAGACATTCGCAGGGATATATATGGTGATGGGATTCTGATCCTGGGTCAGGATCAAGACTCGTTTGGTGGGGATTTCACAGAGCCCTTTTTCGGGAACATCACTGACCTGAACGTGTGGAATGTGTCTTTGGAAGCAAGACATGTTCGTACCTTGAATTCCTGCTCACCAATTACTTTGGAAAAGCTTTTCACTTGGAACCTTGAGCTCATAAGCACTCACACCATGGTCAAAAAGGTGCAGGCCCTTCTGTTTTGTCCTGGTAAGATAACAGTTTCACTCTAAAAACTAATGCATGTGACAGACGAGTATACATTTGTTTAGTTTGCAACTGAGTACGTAACTGATGTAGATGCTGCTGCTGTAAATGATTTTTACCAGTTCTATACATATGACGAAAATATTATGATTCCCAGTAGAGCTATCCAAGGTGTAAAGAAGTAGTAGAGTAGAGAAGCTAGTTTGCTTCTCACTCAGTCTGTACTCCAGTATCTATTAAAAGTGGTCTCTCAGTGAGCTGCAACTGTTGAAAGACTAGTTCAAAACTGAAAAATAACTAAAAATTTCAGGAAAATTGTAAGAAACACTTCACTTTTCAGACCGAGTCACCAGCAAGCTATGTGGGACTGTCCTGAGCTGACAATGTTGAAAGGCACATTCTACTGCAACTAATTGAAACTTAGTAGCTGGCTCCACATTTACAGTGCCTATAAAACATACTCACCCTCTTGGATGCTTTGTGGATTTAATGCTGCTATGACTCAATCATGCAAATTGGTCTATCTAGAAAGTAATACGAATAAAATGTAAAAATAGTGTAAAGTGCGTATTTAACTCAAAGAAAATATGATTGAAAAGTACAAGTCAAGGGATGATTTCCAAGTTTCTAAACATCCCCAGAGATCTGTTAAATTCATCACCACATAACAGAAGAAACGGGACATGTGACCGTGAAAAAAGAGAATAGTGAGGGAGACCACCATGACACCTATGATCAATCTAAATGAATTACAGGCTTCAGCAGGTGAGATGGAAAGACTTTAAAAGCTTTGAAAAGGCCTATTTATATTGACCATGACTGATTTATACAAGCAATAAAAGGGTAAAACATCCATTTGGGTGAATACTTTTTATAGGCAGTGTGTGTTTCCATGTGCTGAGGTACACTTTGAAATAAATACAGGCCATGTTGGAGCGTTTTTTTTTTTTTTTGAATAATTATGATTTATCATCAATGTGGATTTTTAAACCTGAACATTCACCTTGGATAGTTTCAGTGCAGGAGTTAAAATACAGCTCTAGTGCTCTTGGATGGGGTGGGATGCCTGCACCAAAGTGCAGATGAATGGTTTAAGATCATGACGTTGCAACTATTTCAAGAGAAATGTTGCCGTACAAAATATTATGAACGTTCAAATCTCAAGTAGCAGAACAGCATTCCTCTAACACGTGTAAAAGCTTGTGCCACCATCACAAGAAGGAGTAGTCCTGGGGAGGTTGTGGTGTAGAGGTAGGAAGCAGGCTTGGGACCAGAACGTCACAGGTTCAATTCCCTACCATGCCCAAATGTTGTGGTGTCCCTGAGCAAGACACCTAATCCCTAACTGCTCCTCAGGTGCTTACATAGCTGCCCACTGCTCCACCTGGGTGTATCTCACATGTGATGGGTTAAATGCAGAGAACCAATTTCACCATTGTATAGAAACATACAATGATGACTACACAGAGCACTTTCTTCCTTTCTGTATGTTTTTAATCTAGGTCATATGCTAAATATTGCACAAATTATGTTTTATTGGTGCCTCCATGCAATGCATGGCTGGCACCTATTATTCTACACCCCGTAAGTGCGTCTTGATTTCTATCTCGTTAATGTAGCACGAACCGCAACATGGACCCCACAAAAGTTACCAGTATATCAAAATGACCGGCTCAATCTTGACTTTAGGACTATTACATTTATTGGCAATCAGAGTTTCCAGGGCAACATATTTTGCTAACAAAGATGCTATATTTCACCAACTCCAGGAACTAGTTGGGGACTGGCCACGTATACTACACCTGATAAAAGTTTTTCTAGCACCATTAATACGGCTCGAACCACAATGTGTACCCTCACAAAAGTTATATCATAATGACCGGCTCGATCTCGAGAAGGGAAATATTATTTTTATTGGCAATCAGAGTTACCATGGCAACATATTTCACTAACAAAAATGCCATATTTCCCCATAGGAAATCAATGGGAGAACACTCCTCACACTGCTGCTGTCAAGTCACATGACGTACAGTGTAGATGTCCCTGAAGAAAGCTGAAACTCACTGTTGAATATGTTTGAACCTCACAGAAAGTAAACTGACTATAACTCGGTCATTCTTTAAGATATTGAGCTGAAATTACGGATGGATGCTGTGAGTTGTTATACATTCTTAATGAAAATCAAATATCCAAGGTGACCGCCTTAGCTAAAAGAAGAAAAAAACAATAACTCTGCCATTTTTAAAAATATTGAGCTGAAATTTGGCGTATTGGTAGCTGACAATGATCCCTAATAGACTCTGACTGAAAATCTAAAATCCAAGATGGCCACCTAAGCGAAAAAGGATAAATACTATAAATTAATCAGTTTTAGTGATATTGAGCTTAAACTTGGTGTGGTGGTAGCTGAGAATGTTTCCTATCAAATGCTGTATCAAAATCAAAAGTCCAAGATGGCCACCAATGCTACTTTTAAATGGCTTTAGCTCAGCCATTTTGACACATACAGGGCTGAGATTTGGTGAGCTTGTAGCTGAGAATGTTCCCCATCATGCACTGAATCCAAATCAAAAATCCAACATGGCCACCTTAGCTAAAAGAGAAAAAATACCATAACTCAGCCGTTTTTAGAGCTACTTAGCTAAAATTTGGTAAATTGGTAGCCAGCAACGATCCCTAATAGAATGACTGAAAGTCAAAGATCCAAGATGGCCACCTCAGCTAAAAGAGAAAAAAAACACCACAACGGTGCCATTTTTAGAGTGATTCAGCTGAAATTTGGTATAGTGGTAGCTGAGAGCGAATCTTACACATAGTACTATCTAATCAGAATTTTAAATCGGCAGCAGTCTGTCAGTCCCCGTCAAAGTTTCTCCAGGAACTTTCTAGTTGTCGTTATCTATTTTTTCAACATGATTCAATTCAAGCACATCATCATCTATCAAAAGCTTTACTCATAAAGTAAGACTATGTTTGTCCTGCTTTATTGGATGTACATGTACGGTGGTTGGAGAGAAACATTAGACGTGGCACATTGTTTGGAAGATGATTTCTCGACGTTGCTACTCTCTGTGGCAGGAGTATTTTGTCATAATGTGCATGCAGAACCAGGCGTGCAGGTGCAACTCAGCATGCACATTCACATTTGGTGGCAGTAAGGGCAAGGACATTTAGATTTAGAGTTAAAGGAAGGGGCAAACTGTCCCCACAAAGAGCCTGATTATGTGGTGTGCCCACACGGCTCCTGTGAGATCCTGTACTTAAGGAGGTAGTGTGACTTTTTCTACATGAACTAGTAAAGATTTGCCTCAAACATCCCGCAGTTTACAGCAGCCATTTCCTGACTAAAAGCATGCTATTTAATGAACCGTGCTGTGTTCGGGCTCCTCATTTAAAAGAAGAAAAACAGCCTCGTTAAATCTGAAGTCTTCAACAAATCATATTTATTGCACTAATTTGAATGCTTAACACGCAGGCCTATATTGTGATCTTTGAACCATTCATAAAGTTGCCAGAGAGGTCCAGAAGAATGCACGTGCTGTGTCGCAGCTCAAGTCAGAAGAAGTTAGAAAGTTTCCTGTAGTGCTCCAGCGTTGCTGACCGCTGTGTCCGACACTCAGTACTGTAGGCCCACATGACTGCAAGTGTCATAAGTCATTCAGAAACATATGCAATTTGTTTTTATATTAACTTTGGGTTAACACATAAGAACACAGTTCCTATAGTTACAGTTTAATTTTCCTAACAGTTCAACTGATAAATGCACACATTCATTACTTGCTTGTATAGTGTTGTTGTTTTGTGCACATCCCATTTAACCCTGCATACCTAGACTGTGTCCACAATAATCTGTAAATCGAGCACTCACAGTGAAGTGCTGGGCTGGTTGAGGAAATAATCAAACTGAATGATCTGTAAAAAAAAAAAAATCTGTCATTTTTAATTTGCAATTGATCCATAGCTTAAACGTCACTGTGTGTGTGTGTGTGTGTGTGTGTGTGTGTGTGTGTGTGTGTGTGT